AATTTATAATAAAAAAACCAGTATTTTATTATCTTTAATTTAATACATACATACATACATACATACATACATACATACATACATACATACATACATACACACACACACATACATACATACATACATACATACATACATACATACATACATACATACAAGGTTGGATTCACGTGAGACCGGTCTGCTTTCGTGAGACAACATTTTTACACTTGAAACTTCACAATAAAATGTTGTGAAGTTAAAAAGAAGCCGAACCTTCACAACAAAAACACTGTGAAGGTTACCTTCACAGTGTTCATTTGTAAAGTTTCAAAAGTAAAAATGTTGTCTAACGTGTCTTACGAAACAACATTGTCTCACATGATCCCAAATCTATATGTATGTGTGTGTGTATATATATATACATACTTAAGGGCTATTTGACAGTTGGTGAATGGTTTTGTATATAATGATTAAGTGATCATAATGATTAAGATATTTTCATGATATAGTGCAAAATGAAATATAACTTTTTCGTAATTGTTTACAATGGAATTTGGGTGTTGAATGCTAAAGTGAGACCCTTAATAAAAAATCATTCAGAGGGTTTTAGAATCATTAAGAGACAGTCTTTTTTTTGTCAAACAAGATTCACCTCTTAACGATTCAGAGTCTGCCATTTAATAGAACTATTAAGAGTTAAACAAATAACCTCTTAGTCTCTACTTACTATTTTATTCAATCTTCAAAGAATTCCTGTTCGACTCTCAATGCACGAGAATTAGAGTAAGAATTTACCTCTTTAGGGTTTTACTTTTTATATTTCCTTTTAATGTTTATTTAAGTCTCAGACGTCGTAGGATCATTTATCCCTTAAGTTATACGTTTTAAAAAATTAATTTAAAAACCCACGACTTACAAAATAACACACTGTAACGCGCCATAGCGCATTACAACAAAAGTCAAATCTTAGAGTGAAGTCAGATTAATTAGTTAACGTGTCAGTGAAGCCAAGTTGTGGTGCCATAACACGCTATAACGAGTTATTTAGAACCATACTTTATCCACTGAAAATCGATTTTATGATTTATATTTTTTATTAACCTGGATATCCAACCCGTTATGCGAGCCGACTAATCCCAAGACGACCACATGCTTTGCAGATAGCCCAGAGTCACCGCATTTAAACCTCCGTGGCCACAAGAGGATTTTTATTCCTCCTTGGATTTGAACTGGAGACCTCCTGGTGATGATTTATGTTTGTGGTTTTTGATCGAGTAAAAGACAAAAAAAGTGACAAAAAGACGAAAATACCTGTTTAACATAACTTTTTAACAACCGTTAGAAAGAGAGACCAAATCCAAACGCTTTCACAAATCACGATGACCATCTTGTAGTTTCAAAACCGTAAAGACGAAAAGAGTTATTTTCGACAAACCAACGAACCAAATTCGTAGTTTACTTTAATATTTATTAATAAAAACAATAAATTGTCAAAAAAATACATAAAAACATCCTAAAAAACCTTTGATAATTAAACACGTATTTAGAGGCATATAGCCCACGACTTTGCTATAAAATCATGAGTAAATGTAATACACTTTAAAACCAAACATTAATTCCCATTTTGTTTCTAAGCCAAATCTATTAATTATATCATTTTTATCACATTTAAAATAAATTATTAGTAATTAATGACTAAAGTAATAAATTAGCATTTTTTAACTAAAAAATAATAAAAATAATTTAATTTTTTATATACTTAATTAATAAATAAAAATAAAAATATGGTGATCACGTTATATGTTTTACTGGTTTTTTTCTCAACGTTCATGCGAAAAATAACGTCTTAACAGCGATTAAGCATGATTAAGTTTAATCTTTAATGAGTATAAGGACACGCAAGTAACGAGGCTAAAAAATAATGGCCAAAAAACGTTGTAGTTCTGAGACGGTAAGAACGTGTCATTCAACGTGAAATTACTTCCTTTTAAATTGAATTAAAACAAACGCCTCGTTTTTTCACGATAAGTTAGTTTTGAAGTTGCCAAAATAAACCCATTTCGTGATCAGTGTAATTAATTCCTTAAATTAGAACGTTTATACTGTGTACATCCTAAAATAAATATCTACAACCACAAGGGTGGTGTCTGATTGGTTTGAGCTTGACTCCAAAGGTCAAAAGTACCAGGAGGTCTCAGGTTCAAATCTAATAAGGAATAAAAATCCCCTTGTGGCCACGGAGGTTCAAATGCGGTGACTCTGGCTATCTGCAAAACAGATGGTCGTTCTAGGATTAGTCGTGTTGCATAGCGGGTTGGATATCCAGGTTAATAAAAAAAATATCTACATTGCTATTTTAATGTACTTATATAGAATTTACTTGTAATTTTGAATTTTAAGCAATATGCATCAATAAACAGTACCTAATGCATAGAAAATGTTATTAAGACTTTATAATATAGCATGGATAATTTGGACAAAAGTTAATTAACAGCAACCTCAACCGATTCCACACGGA